ATTTGTGGGAGGCACTGTTATGAGCTCTAGGTATTCAGCTGGACTCATGCAGGACATTCCTGTGGAATTCAGGTCTTCAGCTGGATTCCTTGGTCTTCGTTTGTGGACAGATTTCCTGCACCCTCTTGTATATTGTTCTTTGGGTGACTATTATAAATAATCTTATAAAATATGTGTCCTATATTATATTGTTCCCCCTTGCAAAGATAAGCCCCAAACCATAACACAAGGGAAGGTGTAATTAGAGATTGGAAGAACTTATAAGATTGTCAGAACCTGTTAATATTTGTGGTTAGTTTTGTTTGAACATTCTAAACACAGTTCTATTAAGGGTTACCCTGAAATGACCATAAGTGGTACCATTCAAGTTAAAGTGCTGGTCTATTTTTATTCTTTTTGTATTTGCACTTGATATATACTGCATGAAAGATGGGAAAGAAGCAAGGGAAGGCGAGGTGATAGGTAAAACAAGGAAGAGTGAAGGGAATAGGGGAAAAAGGTTAAAAAGGGGAAATAGGAGAGAGACTGGGAGAGAGAGAGAGAGAGAGAGAGAGAGAGAGAGAGAGAGAGAGAGAGCGAGCGCAGAATAAAGGAAAAAATTGAAAAAGGACCAAAAACCCCAACCCAAAAAAACCATAAAATATTGATATAGAAGCAAGAATTAAAGAAAAAGGGGAAACCCCCCCCAGAGAATCCAGAACAGATTCAGAAACAAGAGCCCCTACCCCCATGTGGCTGCTATATCATGTAGTCAGAGTGTCTACACAATTCCCTTTCTGAGGTAGTTGCAGTCCACTTGCAGGAAGCCAAGGCAATTTCCCCCAATTGCAGACTGATTAGCTGTCAGCCATGGAGTCAGTCTGTCTGCACCTACCTCCTGGCTGTGACCCATGCTTTGGGTGTGGTTAACTGCAGCCTTCTTTCTCTGTCCTAAGATTTAACCACCTCAATTAACTTGTGAAGGGGCAGATGTAAAATAGCTTGCCCAACACCAGGCTCTCTAGTGACTTCTGCCAGGGACCTATTACTCTTACACCCCTTGCTATGGGTCAAATCCTGTGCTCCTCTGTAATTGCCCACCAGTGGCTTTCTGCCCAGTGTGTCACCAGAAGATCTCTGCTCCAGCCAACTTTCTCTGTTCCTTTGTGCTCAGATCATAAACCATCCCTGACTCAAGAGCTCTGCTTTCTAACCTACTGGACCTGGAGCAGTCCTGACCTTGGCAGAGGGTCCTTATTCCCAGCATGAGATGGTGAGTGGTGGTTAGCATGTCCTGCTAACCAAATATTCCAGCCTTTGGGAAAACAACAGGGAATTCCTCCTTCCAGACTGACTTTGTCCAATCTCTCTCCCACCCAGGTGTCTCCAGGGATGTGATCTGTGGGTCCCTGTCAGCAAGCTTGGTGCCACCCCAGGTGGTGGTGTTCAGCTTCTCTCTGCTTAGCATGGATGCTTCTCTTGTCAGTGTGGGCCAGGGAGCAGTAAGACGCCACCAAGATGCAGGGTATCCTGGCATTTGGGAGGATGCTACGGGAGGGAAGGTGCTTCTGTGTTGCTATTTCTCCTTTCCTCTGCTCCCTGGGCCCCAACCCACTGTTTACACCCATGATGATTTCCTCTTTCAGATGGGAGTGAGAGTATTGGGGAGCCTAGGCCAGGAGTTTGGCCTCTGTAGAGTTGGCTCCTTCCCTCGGGCTGTTAGAACCACTCCCCCAAAAATCTAATTAGTGATGTCTAATTCCAGCCTTTCTTCTATATTTATTACTCAGCCTTCTTAAGTAAAGAAGACATCTCCCTTTTCTCTATAATGTACTTATTTTTTTAATATAGAATACGGATGCTCCTCAACTTATGGTGTGGTTATATTCCAATAAAGACATCATAAGTTGAAAATACCGTAAGTCCAGAATACATTTAACGTACCTAACCTATTGAACATCATAGCTTAGTGTAGTTTATTTGTCCTCATGATTGCCTGGTTGGCTGGGAGCTGCAGCTTGCTGCAGCTTGTTGTGGCCCACATCATGAGATAGGACTCTACTAGCCTGGAAAAAGACCAAACTATAAAATTAGATAAAATACACTTTCTAATGAATGCTTATTGCTTTCATACCATTGTCAAGTCAAGAAATCATTAAGTCAAGCTATCAAAAGCCATTTGTAATAGGTTCCTACTTTATTCACTAAGCTGTAGTTTTTTTACTATAATTATGTATTTTGTACCAGGAATTGAACTCAGGACCTTGCACTTGCCAGGCAGGCACTTGTGCCTGCTGAGCTACATCCCCGGCCCTATGATTTTGTATATTGATACTAAAGTTGTTCCAGACTTGGCCAGTAAAAACACCTTCAATCTGGCATCCGTTTGAGGCCCCCAAGTTCTTTAAGCACAACAAGATGATTCAGGCTCGTTTATTTTACTTGTTCTAAAATCAACCATTTCAACAGGGTGACCAGATTTCTTTCAGAGGCCAGTAGCATTCAAAAATCAAAGTCTGACTTGTACCTCAGAAGGAAATTTTGTTGTTTTTATGGAGATTGGTTGTCACTACATTGCTCAAGTTGGTCCTGTTCTCCGTGGCTCAAGCAATCTTCCTGTGTCAGCATCCCATGCAGTGGGGACTATAGGCATGTACCACTATGCCTGGCAAATTTCTATTATCTATCTATCTATGGATGGATGTATTTAATTCATTGATGAATCCATAGCTAAATGTGCGGTTAGGAGGTGGGAGGTGGTTGGACATGACTAGGAAAGGTCCATCTCCCTCTCCTATTTCTCCCTTCTCTCTGGTTCCTGACCACATGATGTGAGCAGCTTTCTTCTGCCAGATTCTTCCACTACACCCTTCCTGCCTTGAAGCCAGCCAACTACAGACTGAATCCTCCTTTAAGTTGTGGGTGTTGGGTATTGTGTCCCAGCAATGAAAAAGTGACTAAGACACTTCCCAATTGTGACACTTGGCAACCAAGTCTTCAGGACATGGCCCTTTAGGGGTTATTTAAGATCCAAACTGTAACTAGACTGAACACGGGACCTTGCCCACACTAACCATGCACTCCTTTACTGAGCCATACTCCCCAAAGAACTTTAAATAACACTTTTGCTTAGTCTCAATTTGGATAATGTTCTTTATAGCATATTTCCATATACAGGAGTTTTTTCCATCTTGCACTTTTATGGGTGTATCTCTCTAGGCACTTTGTTCTGACAGAATCAAGGAACTTCTTTCCCACTGTATCCAAGACCTGCTTGCCTTCCCTGTGGGCCCATACACGGGTTGAGGGCGCCTGTCTATTTAAACAACAGCCCTTAATATCTGTAGTTACCTATATTGTTTACTCATTTTCCTCAACAACCCTCTTGCTTCTCTCATTCAGAATGGGAAGGGATAAAACTATTTGATTCCCTCTGGATTTGAGAAAATCAGTGTAAGAATTCTCAAGTTAGTTGACTGACTAGTATAACCTTTGGAATTGGGGTTTAGGCTAGGAATAGAGTTAGGAACAAAGCCATGATACACTTTTTCATTCCTATTCATAATCTTCTACTTATTTTTTAAAATATTCATTTTTTGAATGTTATAGCATTAAGTTATTGTTTCCTATTGGTTGTAAAACATTTGAATTTCCAGCCACAGTGGCACATGCCTGTAATCCCAGCACTCTGGGAGGCTGAGGTAAGACTGCAAGTTTGAGTCCAACCTGGACAATTAGTGACTTAGCAAGACCCTGTCTCAAAAAAAGAAAAAAAAGTGTGTGAGTAGGAGAGGAGGGCTGGGGCAGTAACTCAGTGTGAAGGCCCTAAGTTCGATCTCTAGCGCTGAAAGAAAAATCAAATTGATTATCAATATTTTGTTGTAAAATTGACCTAGAAATCATAAGAAGATACCCACTCAATAAAATGACTAAAATACAGTATACAATACGAAGCATTGCTGAATCTATGGAATCAGAATTCTCCTTGTAGTAAGAAATAAGTACATCAATCACTTTGAAAATGGACCCTATCTAGTAAAGCTAAACATATACCTACTCTCTCACTTAGATAAAAAAATCCAATACAGAAGTAAAATATTGAAAACTAGAAATATTAATTTATCAACTTTTGATCAGATTAAATATCCTGAAAATTATATCTTCCTTATAAATTTGAAAGAAATTGGCACTCTGGAAACCATGCTTTTATATTTAATCTTTGGCAACTGTTGGGATGTCTCCTGTTGTTATTGTTTTGTTTACATGTTTCATTTTGAATCAACTTTGGTGTCTCTGTGCCTTGATATTTTAAATCTAGTTTTTAAAAATGAGCAGAGATGGACACATCCCCTGTATTACCTTGATTAGATTACCTATTCTCCCTTTTTTTTTTTTGGCGGGGAGGTTGAGACAGGGTCTCACTATGTAGTCCAGGCTGGCCTCAAGATCACTGCCTCAGCTTCCTGAGTGCTGGGATTACAGGCAGGCGCCACCACGTCCGGTAGATGATGTACAGTATTCTCATGATGATGTATTCAGAAGGTTTCCAGGGGTGTTTATTTTCCCAGTTTCTATCCTAGGTACTCACTCCTTCAGTGAAGAGTTTGGTCCTTTTCTGCTCTCAAGTTTTTGAGACACTCACCTTTTTTCATTAAATGTGCATTACAGTTAGACAAACTTTGTTTTTTAGTCCTTTACTTTTAAAAACAATAGAAACTCAGAGGAGGTAGTTTTTAAATCCCCACTAAGTTTTAAGTTTAATTAAATGTTTTTTAGGTCACTTTTGTTCACTCTCAGGCAACTGTCTACTGGGAGAAGTTGCCCTAGGGAATTACTCACTCGTTCTTGCTCACTTGTTTAAACTTTATCAATCTGAGTTCCTGTTTCTGGGGATTTTAGTCCGTTCTTCTGGCTCTGAACTGTATCACCCCTCAGACCACAATCTTCACGAAGTCCAAGCCAAACCTAAGGCTCCGACTGTTCCGGCAGCGGCCGAGACCTTCCGCTCTCTCTCGCGAGATTTGAAACCGGAAGTCGATTGCAGCGCCGGCCTCCCGGCGCGGCCGCGGATCTGTTCATATTGGCGGGAGCTGAACGCACAGTCTCCGGCTCCCTGCAGTTGAGCCCGGGCCGCCGAGAGCGTCGGGCAGAGCGGGCAGGATGCGGGTGGCGGTGGCCGGCTGCTGCCACGGCGAGCTGGACAAGATCTACGAGACGCTGGCGCTGGCGGAGCGACGGGGCGCAGGCCCGCTGGACCTCCTTCTGTGCTGCGGCGACTTCCAGGCGGTGCGCAACGAGGCCGACCTGCGCTGCATGGCCGTGCCGCCCAAGTACCGCCACATGCAGACTTTCTACAGGTGAGCGCGCGGCGCCGCTGGCCTCGCTCCCGGCCGCGCGGTGTGAGCAGCCAGCAGAGGGCAGAAACGGGGGCGCGGGTTCGAATCCCGTGCTGCCGCTGTCGGACCCCCGTAGTCCCCTACTTTATTCGCTGTGTTTCTAGGACCTGGCGCAGAGGCAGTGTCACTTTCGTTCTTCTGTACACTTGTCTGTTGTATTTCGCAGGGATCGCAGTCAGGAGGGATAACCTGGAGGAAGAAGCTGACAGGTTTAGATCATCTGCCTTGTACTTGATAGGACTCCGAAATGGGTTCACGTGAATAATCCTGGAGTTTTTACTGGGCTCCTGCAGTGTGCTACTTCCTGTTCTAGAAGCTGAGGTTATAGCCGTGAAGTCCACAAACTTCTTGACCTCGTTGAACGAACACTGACTTGAAACCCAAAGTTTTATTCTTACTCATACACTTTTTATGAAGAGCTCAGTTTTTTCCGTAGGACCTTATTTTGCTCTGTACCATGCCTGATGTGTTAACTATCAACTTCACTCCTATGTCCTAGGTATTATTCTGGAGAGAAAAAAGCCCCAGTTCTCACAGTCTTCATCGGGGGAAACCATGAGGCCTCAAATCATTTACAAGAGTTACCCTACGGTGGCTGGGTAGCTCCGAACATTTACTATTTAGGTATGTGTTTGTGTATAATTTTGGAGTTTCATGGGAGAGAAGAGGGTTTGGATTAGGGCAGAAGTACTTTGAGATGCATAGTGTGTGGGGATTATCATTAATTTTAATAACCGTGAAATTTTAGTCGAAAGAGTTAACTATTAAACATTTAATCATGAAGATCTGTCCTTGCATCACCTAATGTTTTAAGCAGTGATTAGTATGACAGCAAAGGCCTTACACACTATTTATAGTCCTTTTATTTCTTTCATTCTCTTCTTACAGAATTAAAAAAAAAACCCAGACTATATAATGGATATTGTTAACCATGCACAAAAATGAGAGTAGCATAATGAATCTTTGTACCTGTTAAATTAACTTCAGTGATTATTGTCATTTTGCTGTCCTTGTTTTCAACCTATATCCTCAGCTTTTTTGAAGGAGATGACTGGAGTGTTAAAGCAAATCCCAGGCATTAGATTGTTTCATCTATAAATACTTAACATTTTTTAAGTGGTAAGAATTTTTATAAAATACCACAATGTATCATTATACCTAACAAAAGTAACAGTACAGTAATTCTTTGTTACCTGTTTCCCATTCATACTCAGATTTCTCTAGTTATCCCAAAGATGTCTTGCTTTACTTTTTTTTTTTT